TGCTTGAAGATGTTGAGACTGATGTTGCGATGATTAGAAATGCTATAGTGATTTTTATTGACGAGTTAACTCGTCGTGAAAGTGTTTCGTTAACCCTTTGCCTGGTGAGTTCTTTTAGAATTGGCTAGAATTACTTCGTCATTGATAGTTTACTGAAAGCAAAGAGTAATGTTTAAATACAGACAATATTAATAAAAAGTAAAGTAATGAAGAATAGATGACGAGATATCTCGTCAATATTTTCTTATAATTGCGAGTATTATAACAACTATAATACTTTAACTGATAAATTCTTTACTGATTGTTGCACCCGTCGAAGGACGAGTTAATTCGTCAACGTCTTCTCATAATTTAAAAAATTCCAATAACCCTTCGCTAACTTTTAAATAAAAATTCTCCCAATCAAAAGTAACGTACAAACAAATTTTCCACTGATTCTTGCACCTGTCAAAGGACGAGTTAATTCGTCACTCTCCACTAAAGAGCCTTTTTGATCATGAATCACATCAGTTAACAATTTAAGGGTATCTTAATGCCAGAGATTTATTTGTGTCTTTATCAATTCTCATTTCTATTTTTTGTTTTCTTTTTATTTCGAAGGATGGATCGTTCTGCAAACGATCAAACGCGAGCCACGAACACGCGACACTGTCCCGCGCGGTACTGAGGGCTTCGGGGTTTTCATTCATAGCCGCGGAGCTAACCGAGATGTCCGGGGTTTCGCGCAGGCGTTACATATCCGTTTCCTCTCGGTTCCTTTTCCTTCGTCGAGGACGTGTCGAGTCGCCGGGAACCGGACGCGATTTTTATTTGGTTTCCGAAATCGATGACCGCACGACTGGCCATGCAGAGACATCCTGTTGGAACTTTACTTCCGATTGAATCGTGCAAACTGAATACTGAGCTGACTATCTTTAACCCTTTAACGGTGGAATTTTATTTTAAAGTTCTTTATTTGCGCGTGTGGTTGGAAACAAGTGATGACGAATATACTCGTCAGAGACCGTTAAGGAGTTAATAATTATTCTTCGGGGTATACGTTATTGATTACAATTTCTTGTCACTCTTTGATAGTGAAATTTCATTTTAAAATTCTTCATTTGTATCTGTAATTGGAAATAAGCGACGACGAGTGTACTCGTTAAACACCTTTAAAAGGTTAAGAGGGAAACACTCTACTATATCAGTGAAATCAATTAATTTTACAATATTAATTTTGTAAATAATAAATTATGAATGTTTATTAATTTATAGGTACAAAGATACGTTCAAAAACTAGTTATAAAGTATTTAGCTAGTAAATATTTGAAACATGGGTTTATTTAACATTGACAGAAATAATGATCTATATTTTATTTTTGAGATAAAAACATAGATCAATAATAGTAGAGGTTATTGATAATAATTCCGTAAATAATATTTTATTTGTTTTATTAATGAGGTCAGAATTTACTAACTTCAAATAATATATTATAATATCTTTCTAACGCCATTAATGAAAGTCTGGTTTGGTACGAAGGCTCTACACATTTTAAATATAATATAAATTGAAAGGAAAGATTTAAAAAATATTATACTGAAAATAGCAAAACATAAATGATAATGATAAGTGCAAAAGGAATAATGAAATTGAATGATATTAAATGCTAAATAAATTCATGAAATGTAGTGTGAAGTAAATTATCATACGAATTACTATATAAATATAATGAAATCAGGCATCCTAATTATTATTCAAATATAGTCAAATGAATTGTCATAGATACAAACTGCTACACAAACATAGTGAAATTATTGAAATACAGGGAAATAAATGACAGTACAAATTACTATGTAAATGCACTGAAATAAAGTGACATGAACTATTATTCAAATTACTACACAATTATATTGAAACAAATTATTGTACGATGGTACACACACACACACACCACTAATCCCGATAAAATTCTTCAATGTAACTCTGTCGCTATATCAATCCCTAATACCATAAATTAGATTCTATCTATTCACGTGTACTATCTCCGGATCTCTATACTTCCTTTCAACGGTAGTCAAGTGTGCTTAGATTGCCACTTGGAATGAAAATATAACATTGATAGGATAAAAAGACAATTTCAATTATTCCAGAAGAACATAGTATCTATAACAGATATCACGATACGATTTCAGTGAACACTTTCTTCCACTATGAAGAGACGTTCACTGTATTTGGGGATTTAGAAAATCGCCGAACAAATGATTCCCCGGGAAGATTCGTTCGTTTTCGCTATTCCAAGCAGAAATCCTACCATTATCGTATGCAATATCGTACAGTGACATAATAATATCGTAATGTTAAGTACCTATGTAGATACTGTTACTTGAAATTGGAAATCAATTGGTCCTACGATAAGATTGTCGAGTGGACTTCCCTCTGTGAAGTATGCTGTAGATAATAAAAAGAAATGCTAGATGCCAAATCTTTGCTAATCTTGTACAGTAATAATAGTAAAAGCAACGGTGATGATAATAATAGTGGGAGAGGTTTCGGGAAAATTTTGAACAAATACCATTACTTCTGACGCGAAAGCGTCGAATAAGAGAGGAAAATTGCAGTCTATGCAAATTGTATACGATACCATCACATTTCTTTGGTGAGATTCACCTTTATCGAGCGGACGTGATCAGAATAAAGAAAATACGAAATATTAACGTTTTTTGAGGAACTATTCCTCTGCGTACCATTCAGAGATAATCCTTCTCCGCTTCATTTATATTTTACATTTGATCTTTCGGTATCTTAAATCTGAACTCTATTATGTAGTAGATACTATTATGTACTTTATAATATGTTCTTCTGTTGCAAAGGGTAATTTTTGAAATCTAATTTAATCTCAAGAAACACAAAAATGAAAAAAATTCTCTTATTTAGTTTTCTTTATATTTTGTTTATTTATTGTGATACTCCAATTGTTTTTTAATATTATAATTATACGTTATTCGTATTATTTAATTTTAATATATTTTTTATGTTCATTTTATGTTTAAATTGTTACTTTTTAATTAGAGTTGATGTTGAGGAGTGTGGTTGTTAGTAATTATTATCGTTTAATACATTGTTCTGGATACTGAATCTGGGTAATGAACATCAATCTGGGTAATGCGTGAAACGAACGAGAAAAGATCAATGGGAAATGGGTGTTGCACAGTTAATCGTTGCAACAAGTAGATACAGAGAGCCATAGACGGACACATTAGTCAAGCCGCGTTCTATTGCGCGAATGCACGGCCAGCTATAAAATTGTTCTTCTCGACATTGTATACCTGGTGCAATATCACGCAATATTTTTTTTGTTCTCTCTGGTATGACCACCAATATGTTTTCTTTCCCAATTCTTTTATTAACAATACCTCGTTATTTGTGAATGCGTGAATTCAAACGATAAAACAGTGAAAACAATTCCACCGTTTTAAAATTACAATGTATTTAAATTTATTGTTTCTTATTATCCGAACTATATCATTTTTGTTCTATTTTATTATTTTATTATCGATTTATAAATTTTTATAACTGGACAAAAGATTCATTTCTTCCATTAATAATAAAACATTATAATACATTTTTCAATAAATACGAAGAAACCTTACAAATGTAAAATTGTGTTTCTGTTTTATTTTAATATCGACTTGTACATTTTCGCAAGTAATTGGAGGATTCGTTTCTCTCGTTAATATTATAACAATATTATTCACATGTAAGCTTGAACAAGGATAAACAGTTAAAATGCTGAGATATTATTTATTTATTTGAATTATATTATCTTACTTCATTTTCATATATAATTTATAAATAGCAGCAATAACGCTGATGCATCTTTCAAAAATACTATTGCAAAAAAAAGGCAATGACATATAAAGAGGAAAATAATGTATCATCGAGAGTTACGTCGCAGGAAACGATTTTCTTATATATAGTTATATTCCCCAAGGTCCCATGATCATCTATATTTCTAGGGAATAACGTAGTGATTAATCATTCAAGCTTTATAAAAGAGAAGCCGCAAATAACAGCAGAACAGTTTACAGATATAGGAAAAAGGAAAAATAAAAATGTCACACCTACCTAGTCGATAAAGAAAAAAGTAGAAATATTGTTAGTTCAAAATATGAGTGTTTATTACAGATAAATGTTGATTTGTTGGTATATCTATTATTAAAACAATGTAGAAAATTTGTGAATATTAATATTTTTTTCCTTTATATTTTACCAACTTACAAACGTTATAAATGCATGAAAATCAATTTGATTGGAAAGCTTTATACATGTATAATATAGTATAATTTAAAAGTATTGATTTTGAAGAATATTATAATGAAAATAGTAAAATATACAATGGCAATATTATTTTAAAAGTTGTATAGAAAATTCGTTTTGTATTCTAAGGAAATTCATTCATATATTATTATTTACATATTTATTTATAATTCGTTTATTATTTCTTACATAAAAACTATTATAAGAATGCGCATAAAAAATGTTTGAATTGTAACTAGAGAAAAAACTCGAAGAACATCAAGATAAAAAATCAAAAGAAACTCACTAATATAAAACCACCAACAGCATCCATACAAAGAAATTCATCAAAAAAAGAAACAACCACAATTGCTTTCCAAATGAAACAGCAATTAAATTTCATTTAATCAAAATGAAATCAAAAGATAAAAAGGAGTTCAGCAATACAAAGCCAACAACAACAGCCACACAAAGAAATCCAAGAAAAAAAGAAAACTGCCGCAATTGTTCTGAACAGCTGGAATCGCTATCAGCATCAAAAGATCAATGCTTCATAAGTACCAGACAAACGATTCTTCACGATCGTCGGATCGTGAACCGTGTTGAATCGAATGAAAGGAGAGTGGGAGGTGAATAGCGTCGACGGAATGGAGTATGGAGGGAGGGACGGAGAGGAGGGGAACAGTTGATAAATACCAGGCGATTACTCGGGATCTACGGATCGTAGATCTGTGTTGTAACGGTCGGTGGCCGTAGTTTCTTTCCGGGACTGCGAGCGAGCACGTGCCGTCTCGATTTCTCGTTTCGCCGGCGCGTCCCGCGACAAACGATTCGCGTCGACGGACGCTGATCCCCGTGAAAATTGACGGCAGCGAGGTACGTGGATCGTTTCACCGAACGCTTCTCCCGGAATTACCCGGGCATGGAGTCCGGCGACAAGGAGGCGCACCGGCCGAATGAGAAAAGTGAGTTTCGACGAGGCGCTTGATGGATTAATGCGGAAAAAATGAAAGAAAAACGGATGGAGAGAGGGAGATGGAATGAACTTG